TTCACAGGGAGAGCCTGCCCTTTTCTGAAGACTGAACATACATACGCGTTGAACTCTTTGCAAAGCCTGAGCCATCAACTCTTCAAGCTATACATCCAGCCCTCTACTCTGCTTCTGGGAAAGTTTCCTGATGCATATCCTGTGTGAATGAATGCCATCAACTACCTGACAGCCACACCTGATCCCAAATGGCAGTTACTCTCTTGTTACAGGAACACCATCACTGTTCATGTTTATTCTGAGAAACTATAATACTATCTGGGCCTGGCCAAAAGCAAGCAGAATATAAAGACTTAAATGAAGTGAATTCACTAGAGTTAACTCAGAAACTTAAACCTGAGTGGCTGAATTCCCCTCCCAGGCCTGAGTAGCTAGCTAGCAACCCCTGGTGTGTGTCCTCATAAATAGGCAATAAGGGAGCAAGAGAGATGGGCATCTGTAGCACTTGACTTAGATATAAAAGTGAAGGATGATATGGTAGGGAGAACCCCAGACACACAGAAAGGCAGGAACAAACAACCTAATCACATTTTATCAAGAGAAATGATTCCTTCAGAAAAAGGATACCATGAATTTATTTTTAGCCATTTATTCATCTGATGAACAGTTGTTGAGTTCCTTCTTAACAAGTGTCCAGAAAACACTAGATGCTGAAGATACCAAGATAAAACAACCAAGTTATACATCTGGCCCTCAACCCTGTTTCCAAGCAGAGCTGCCCTATAAGAATGCTGCATCCTTTTGCAGCTTTTCTTCACAAAGTAGCTTAAATATGTTTAAATCTGAAAATCAGGATATAGGAAGACTGAATGACACATTATCAGTTGAATGATAAACGATGTAATGTATTTTCAAATTTCACTGTATAATATCTTTTCCACTGTAATACTATTTCTAGGTTGTTTTCTCCCCAAGGAAATCCTGAAATTGTCACAGGCCACAAGAACTTCTACCTGTTCCCCAGGAATGCTGAGGATAAGTCACCTCAGTGGCTGATCTCCAGGCCTGCTTCTCGCAGGTGCTCTTCTCTTACTTCAGGGCTATGTCAGCACATTATGATGCAGGAGCAATAGAACAATGCCCAGAGCAGCCTGGCTTGCACTTCTTTTGCCAGTGGTTAGTTTCCTGCCTGGTAGACATAAACACCTCCTCCTAAAGCAATGTGAAAAGAGTGGTAACGTGTTTTGGGAGGTTATTCTCCTATTCAACATCCAGATTTCCAGAGACCTATTTCAGCCTCATCTCCATGTAAGTGTCTGTTTGGTTGCTGCAACTTTGATGTGAACCTGAGGGACAAGGGAATGGATAATTTGAGTATTGCTGATCATTTGAGGGTAGAAATGTCTCCTTTCTTTCCATCTTCTTCTTTTCCTTCTATTTTCTTTTCTTGTACTTCAACCAGAACAATCAGGAAACTCAGAAACTTAAACCTGAGTGATTGAATTCCTTTTTCTTAAAAATCTTATTGACAGTTTGAGTTTGAAATGAAACCTTGCTATCAGGATTACTATTAAATTTTGATTTTTCAAACTACTAATCTACTTTTCTTCCATTAGAAATTATGAGTTGAATAAATATATTGGAGTAACATTATTTTTAGTTACTAAAATGCAAAAGAAGATCCAAAATGCAGAGTCTGCTGTTCAAAGCTGAAAGATTGAGGTGGGAGCATGGTTGTAAAGAAAGAAGAGGCTACACAGTCAGATCTTTTTCCAAGAGGAAACCAGAATTGCAACCTAGAATCATGACAGACCTATCCTAAAAATGTTTTTTAATGTATTATGAATCTTAGAAAAAATCCTGTTGATAAAATAGTATGCTTCAAAGTACTGTGAAGAATTAACCTCAAGTGCAAAGTACCGCAGAGAACATATTAATGAATGACTGGTAAACACCATCATTTAAGAGCTATCATACAACTACAAAGAAAAAGCATAATAGGGGCTGGCAATGCCACTCATCGATGGAGAGCTTGCGAGCATATGTGAGGCCCTAGGTTCCATCCTGGCACCAGGGGAAAAAAGCACAATAAAGACCACACGAAAACATAGATGGTAGATATATGGATGTTCACTATAGAATTTTTTTCAACTTTTCCATAGGCTTCAAAATTATTTATAATAAAACAGTGATGGGAAAAGACCACATGGGAATGTAAACATTTACAGAGAACATTTTAGGGGTGTGTATAGACATTCCACTGAATTAAGCAACCAGAAAACCCAAGCGAAACACTTCCATGATTGCTCCTTGGGCTCCCACTGCCTCCCCTTCCTGATTTCCATTAAGACTCAACCTCTCACATTTCAAAAAAATTTCTGATGATTGCATTTATTCTGGAAAAATAAAGATACCCGACCATCAATGCAGTATTCATATACCCCATACCAATACTGAACTCATCCTTAACAGGCCTTGGTCATTCTTGAAACAGTAAGCACAGTCGGGGAAGTCCTGGGGACAGCAGCACCACGTGGAGTCAAGGGCAAAGCTGAAGCAGCTCCCATCCTGACAGCTGTGATAGGTTTCCAGTGCATGACAGGCAATGATTTGTGGTCTATAATCAGATTTAATATGGAATCTCTCTGCCTTTTCTTTAACTAAAAAAGCCAACAATGCTTTTTCAGATGAAAATTACACTGCAATTCTGCAGAAAAATACAGCCCAATGGAACTGTCTACTAAATAAATGACTGAAGCACTAGTTAAACGAAATAACAGAGACTAAGGATCTTCTAGTGATAGGATAAGTCAGGGTCCCTCTCAAATAAAATTAGATTCCTTTGTGCAGTCCTTGCTCTATAGCATAATTAAAGCCCTTATCTATGATATTATTATGTATATTGCTTGCTTACTAATTAAATGTATAGGATGTTGGATGGACCTTGCAAAAGGCATAAATTAGGGGGAAAAACATTAACTATGACTGGGAAAATTAATACATAATCCTGGTAGAACCTTATAACAAAAGATTCTGGGGCTGGGGGTGTAGCTCAGTGGTAGTGTACTTGCGGGTGTTAGACCCTGGGTTTGCTCCAGGACCTCAAAACCAAAACATACTGTACATCCATGAATAAAGCTAACTCTGCTTCCCCACAACAGTCTGTAGAAATCCTGCTTTGTTTCTCTGCTTTAATTTACAAATCTGTTCAACAGGTAAGTATTATAATTCCATTTTATATATTGGTCATGCCTTAATGTAATTAGTCTTTAAATATTAAAATTTAGTTTTTTTATTTTTGAGTTTTATGTTTAGACCATCTATATACTGTAGACCAAAATACATATATATTTTTATTGTAAACCAAATATATATATATGCGTGTGTGTGTATACATATATGTGTGTGTGTATGTGTGTGTGTGTGTGTGCATACACACACAAAATTGGAGAGGTCAGACAGTACAATTCACAGATAACATAAAATCATAGTTACAAAAAAATTAATCAAAATTTAACCATTAGTCCAAAAGTCAAAATAATTCTAGAAAAAATATATAAAAACAAAAGTCATCACACCACATTATAAAAGAACCTGTAACATTTTCTGCCCCTTAGCTGACCTCACCTTTGTGCCAGAGTTCAAAAATAGGGACAACACCCCCTTATGGCTGCAGATTTCCTGCATTACTTCCATCACTTCCCTTTCTCTCATCTTCTCCTTCCTCTCTGTGTCCACCAGCTCCCCTGGGAGATCATCTGCTGACTGTTCAACTGATCTCTGGAGGACTAGGTCTTAAATCCAAGGGATCTTGTGGCCACATAAATAACTGCACTGAGAAGGAACACTCCCTAGACCCAGTGACCATGTGGCACCTACTGATTAGCAAGTATCTGTAAAAAGTAGACATACCCTCCAACACATGGATGTTTTCACTTTTTTGGAATGTTGTGGGGTTTTTTTTCTTTTCTTTTCAAAAATGTGTACTTCATCACCCACCTCTGGGTTTTTAATTGTTGTTGTTGTTTGTGTTTGTGTGGCACAAGGATTGAACCCAGGGTCTTACACATGCTGGGCAAGTGCTTTGACACTGCCCTATGTCCCCAGGTCCCTCACCCACCTCTGTTAGAACAAGCTGACTACTTCATTTCCTCAAGATCATGATGAGACATGACACTATTTTATGGATCACTAAGAAAAAAAAATGCTGTTAATCATATAACTTGATGCTTCTTTTTACTTAGACTTTTCCCTTACAAAATCTACCTGTTGTTCCTCTCTGCCATCATCTTCTGCACATTTCTTAAAGGGCTATCCTAGGAACTTCTTCCAAGTCTCTGACATGTGTTCTGTTGGTTTTGTACTGAGACATTCTTAGTCTTAACAGAAGTTGTCAACAAAAAGCTTCAGGGAATCACAAGAACACATTTTAATGGCAATTGAACACACCCAGGTGGTACAATTGATATTACTTCCTTTGCCACATTATCAAATATCTTCCTTGGCCACAAGAGCCCAGGATTTCCCTGTTTGGCAGTTTCAGGCCAACAATGAGCTAGGGACTCATGACTCCAGTTCTATTCACAGACCATAAATAGGATAATCAACAACAGCCCTCTCTGACCAGGTCTCACCCTAGTATAGTTAGAAGACTAACTCATGGACCTCGAATATGAAATAGAAGTGGGGAATAAAATTAGCTTCCTTGCTAAATACTTTACTTTTCTTTTTGATTCTTTCACAAAAGGTTTCATCATGAAAAGGAGGAAGCCCAAACTGAAGTGAGTAACAAACTTCTTTTCCAAAAGAAGATGTGGTTCAGTCCTGAGTGGAGGTAAGATTTGACAGTCCTGTGGGTGTGACATGCACAGGGTGTGCCACTCCTACTCTTGCCCTTTTCTCTCTTCCTCCCTTTCTCTCTCCCTTCCTTTTGCACTTCCCTTTCCAAGTTCTCTTTTTCCCTTCCTCACTCCTGAGGTCTGCCCACAGGAACAGCTTTTCTAGACTTTAGAGGAGATGTATGAACTGATAGGAGAGTCTGAGCTGAGCAGGGCGTGTGCGGAAGCGATGGGGATCGTTCTTCCTTCCTTAACGTTCTGAACTGAGGCTTCCTGCTTCTTCCAGCACAGATTCCTACCTTGAGAGAGGTGAGAGGATCTCTCTGTCCCATCAACACATTTAGGGCTCTATTGCTCAGGAAGAGGAGGGAACAGGAAGAGAGGGGAAGGGTGCTTTCTGTATTCTTTTGTCCTCTTTTCCTCCTTCCACCTCTCACCCTTTCCAGTTCTCACACCCACCTCTCCAAGCACCTCAGGCAAGGCGGAACATTGGGCAACAACATTAGCTCTTCTAGTCAGGCTAGGAGGGTCTGAATCCTGGTTTGGGGACTTCCAGGCTATGTTATGTTGGGAAGTTAATTTCTCTAAGTCTCAGTTGCCTTAAGTGAGTGTCTTAATGCTGTTATTTCATAGTGTTATCTGAATTATATGAGAGAGTGCATTAAAGCCTTTATTGCCTGCCACTTAACAAGCACTAAATACATTCTTTTAATTATTATTTCTCATCCTCTTGTTTTTAGGTGGTGGTGGTGGTGGTGGTGGTGGTGGTGGTTATCTCTTTTTTTTTCTGATTGTTCTTTTTGGGGTCTGATTTTCACATTTCTTTTTTTTTTAAAGAGAGAGAGAGAGAATTTCAATATTTATTTTTTAGTTATTAGCGGACACAACATCTTTGTTGGTGCTGAGGATCAAACCCGGGCCACACGCATGCCAGGCGAGCGCGCTACCGCTTGAGCCACATCCCCAGCCCCATCACATTTCTGCTTGTATGGATTATTTCAATTTATTTATTTTCTTGCTCTTCTTGAATCATTTGATTTTCCCTGTACATGCATAAGATGTGGTCAAGGGGTGCCATGGAGTTGCCACCAGTGGAATTGTGCCTTGGCCACAGCTTATTGTGCCCAAAGCCCTTGCTCAGAGCACATGTGGCAGCAGAGGTCTCTGTATCCTGCAGTCCTGGCTGGGACCACAACAAACATGCTCACTACTTATCCTTTTGCTTGGGTGAGGGGTCTCTGAGGAAGGAAACTGTCACCCTAACTATATTTAAGAATATATGTTAGTGGCATTAAATGATTTATAATGATGTTGCAACAATCACCATCATTCATCTCCAGAACTCTTTTCATGTTGTAAAATTGAAACATTTTTTATAAACATTGGTTCCCCATCTTCCAATCCTCTGTTCCCCTAGCAACCATCATTCTACTTTGCCTCTGTGATTTCACTATTCTAGGTACCTCCTTATAAGTGGGATCATCGAGCATTTGTCTTTTTGTGACTGGCTTATTTCACTTAGCATAACGTCCTCAAGTAGTTTCATTCATGTTGTAGTGTGTGTCAGAATTTCCTTCCTTTTTTTGCTGCATTTTATATTCCTGTGGAGGGGGGTGTGTGGGTGTGTGTGGGTGTGAGTGTGTGAGAGAGAGAGACAGAGAGAGAGAAAGATTTAGTTTACTCATTCATCTTCCAATGGGCATTAAGTTGTTTCTACATCTTAACTGTTGTTAATAATACTGCTATGAATATGGGTGTACTAATATGTCTTCAGGGCTCTGATTTCAATTCTTCTGGGTATATTCCCAGAACTGGAATTGCTAGGTTATGTGGCATTTCTATGTTTAGTATTTTGAGATAACACCATACTGTTTTCCATTGCAGCCATACTATTTCATATTCCAAACAACAGTGCACAAGGATTCAAATTTTTTCACATCCTTTCCAGTAATTTTATTTTCTTTTTTTTTTGTTTGTTTGTTTGTTTGTTTTTTGTTTATTTCCCTCCAGTACTGGGGATTGAACCTAGGGCATTCTACATGTTACACAAGCACTCTACACCCCCAGTCCTGTTTCTTTTTCTTTTCTTTTCTTTCTTTCTTTTTTTTGTAATAGCAGTCATCCTGAAGGATATGATGTATTATTGGAGTTGTGATATTTAGCATCTATCCATGTGGTTATTGGCCATTTGTGTATCTTTGGAGGAACATCTGTTTAAGTGGGAAAGGTGATTTTTTAATGTCTGATCACACTACATTCTGGGTTCTTACTCTGTTAAGAATTGTTATTTCTGATAAGTGAAAGGTGAAATCCAAATATATAGAGTCACTGTTGTCTGTTGAAGTGGTTTTCAAAGGGAGGGAGGGAGGGAGAAAGAGAGAGAGCGCGCGAGAGCGAGCACGCAAGAGAGCACAAGAGTTAGACAGCAGACAAATATCCACCAGTTCCTCTCAACCAAAAGCTAAGCCTCAGTCATAGGTGAATAGCATGAAAGAACTGTTCTCAGTTTAGAACAGGAAGCTAACCAGTTTAGTTTACTTTTGATATCCTACTCACACAAAAGGATTAGAGAACACTGGATGACAGAAAGTACAGTGGGATCATTAGTTACAGAGGTAAGAAATGATATTTGGGGAAAGGGCATATATTGAGAAAACTCCTAGAAAGGTCTTTCCTAATTACCCTATAGGTGTTGTTGCCAGCCACAGATCTCAGCCACCTTTATTACAGATATCTCTTTTATGGTCTTTATAGTTCCTATTATCCAATCCCTCTCCCACTTTTTAGGCTTGCTTACTATCTGTCACCCCATAACATATAAACTACATGAGGGATCTTATCAATCCTATTTAGATGTATCTATAGTGCCTGGAAAAATGCCAAGCATATCATGATGTTGATAAAATTTGCTGAATTAATGAAAAAATGAGCCAATTTAATTATATTATATTCTCTCTGTATTCATTAATTGCACTTCCATTCCTTCAATTTTTTGATGTTTGCATATAAGCATAATGAAGAAAATCAATAGGAAGTCGACCAATGAGCAAGATGCACTCTGCGCCCCACAACCTTGCAGTCCAGGAGGTCTTCAAAATATGTTGGATGGAGGAGAGTATGCCCCTTTTGTGTCTCCTCCCATGTTAGAGAGCAATTTTATACAGGTAAATAAAACTTGGGCCCTAATTTCAATTCCAGTAATCATAGCATTTAATTTTCTCAAAGACAATTGAAAAGGTTTGGAGGAAACTTGTCTTAAATGTAGTGAGGGAATATGTGATAACATTAAAGGGAACAGTTTTGGAACTTCAAAGAAACTGAAATAATAACAATGTTGAAGGATCATTAATTTCAAATGTTCCCAACAAACTCTTAGTAATTCTGTCCTGATGCTACCATAATTGTCATTCTAACATAATATTCCCAAAGTCATAGCAAGTGACTTTTAAAGCATCCTGTCACAGGAAAATATTCAGATAACTTCTTTCTTAGACTTACAAGATGTTTGAAAGAAAAACATCTGTAACAAACTAAGGATTATAATGAATGTTAGCTCAGATAGTGTCAGGGAGAAAACCTGACTTTTTCCTAAAAAACGTGCCTATGTTGGGAATTAAACTGCTTGTCAGCACATCTGTACAAACTCTCCTCTACACATTTGACATTGGAATATTCAGAAAATAAATGGAGAAAGGAGCTCAGTGGATGGGCCATACTTCTAATTGAAAAGGTTGGGAAATGCCTCATCAATGCCTAACAGCCACACTGAATTCCAATTCCAACACATTCTAGCAGCTACTCAGCTGATTCCACAGAGGGGTGACAGGGAGGATAACAAACCCTTCCTCAAAGGTAAGGAGACTTCACCTTTCGTAAACATGTTTTGGGCACTGATTCCTGACTTAGCATGACCCTTCCAGCCCCATAGCATATACCATAGCAAGAAGTGAAGCCTCCAGAAACATTTGTTTTAATAACAAGTCATGATTTGATGCTCTTTGCCTTCTACGTATTTGTTTCCTACCAATAATATTTTATTTTTTCACTTTTCTTCCTATGCCCTTTTCAAATTACCTTTGGAATATTTTCATTGATTGCATGACACTTGACCTACACTGGGGAGATAGTTAACAGTCTATAGATCAGACACAGCCCCACATGATAATTTGGGAAAAAGTCATACTCCTCGGGGCTAGAGTTGTATTGTAGCTCAGTTACAGAGCACTTGCCTTGCAATTGTGAAGCACTGGGATGGATCCAACACCACATAAAAACAAAGGCACTGAGTCCATACACAACTAAAACAACTATTTTTAAAAAATGTCATACCCTTCAAGATACACCACAACCTCTCCTGGTCAGTATGTCCTTGGTAGCAAGCTACTCAGATTCCTGACTCAGTGGATTCAAATGAAAAAAAAAATCCAAACAAAAACAATAATCTCAAATAGAGTGAAGAGCCCAGGGTGCTGGGTTCTCTTTTTGCTCTCTAACAAGACATTTGCAGTGACAGCTGCCAGGAACACAAGAGAAACATCTCATCCTGCTGTGTTCTTGTGAGGATTGGGAAACCTTCCCAGAGCCACCAGGAGGCCCCCACTTGCTTCTCACTGGCCAGGCCTTCTCCACATGCCCCTGTTGAAATTAGTCACAGGCAAGCAGGAGGGGTCCCAAGTCAGTTTTAGGTTAATTGGGATTTAATCTCAGAACTGAGTCACCATCTCTGAAGAGTGGATAATGAACAAATCCAGGATTCTGTTCATCAGAGGCACAGCTTTGGGTAGGCTGTGAGGAGTGTGGATCACAACTTCTTTTGGAATATATTTGTTTATAAGTGGTTTATTTTTTAATTGAACCAGTTCTCATACAACTGAGAAACCAGTGTAGCTCCTCTATGGTTTCCTTCACATTTCTGTCAACCCCTTTACCAGTCTGTTCTTTTGCCAACTAACAGAGATGTTATTGCCCAAGATTATTGGACTTTGGGATTTCTACATATACTGTTCCTATGCCCAGAAACTTCTTCCCTCCACCAGTCAGTTTACCTCTCACATTCTTCAGGTCTCAGCTAGGAGTCCCCTCCTCAGAGTATATTTCCATGACCCCATATCCAATGGTGGGCTGGAGTGGGCCTACTGGCAAGTGTTCAGGAAGTTTACAAGTTGGTCTTTAAGTCCTGCCATTATTATCATTATTTTATTATTTGTTTATTAATAGAAACAAGGTATTGCTGTGTTGTCCAAGCTGGCAATAAACTTCTAGGCTCAAGAGATCCTTATGCCTCAATTTCCTGAGTAGTTGAAATTAAATATGCACCATGCCTGGCTTAATCCAGCCATTATTAAAAATTAAGTTATATTACTAGGGATATAGCTCAGTGGGATATAGCATGTGTGAGCCTGGAATTTAATCCCTGGTACTTCAAAATAACAATAATAGTAATAATTATAATAACATATATAAATTTACATCCAAACCAATGATAATAAATAGCCAAAACTCACAATTCCTATTTTTTACTACATTTTACTATTATCTATGTTCTTGAGGTTACGGATGCAAGAGTTTGATAAAGGTTTATAGGATACGTTACTTGACTCTATGGTATTAAAAGTAAAGAATATTCTGTGTTTTATGTAAATTGTATGGCGCTCATCTTTTATATCAGTAACATTTTATTTTAGTTTTCATTTATTTATGTATTTATTTTTTGTGTTGCCAGGGATCAAAGTCAGGGCCTCATGCATGCTATGTAAGCACTCTTACCACTGCCCAATGTATCTGTAACATTTTGTTGTTATTGTTTTTGGTACTGGGTATTGAACCCAGGAGTACTTTACCACTGAATCATAGTTCTAGTCCTTTTTTATTTCAAAATAGGGTCTCACAAAGTTGCTGCAGGTTTTGCTAAGTTGCTGAGATTAGCTTTGATCTTCCTGCCACCCAACTATCAGTAACATTTTCAAAAAGTTTATGTGTAAGTGAATCTTCTGAGAACTGTTAAACATTTACTGTCACATCATTGGCTATATCCCTACCCTAAGCTAAGTGCTCTGTTAAATGTTCCCAGAATTTGTTCTTGGTAATACTTGCTACAGTAATAATTAGTTACTTAAGTTGTTTAATGTTTGTCTTCCCTGGGAGACTCCCACACATGAAGGGATTATGTCTATTCACTTGTGGTATCTCCAAAAATTAACCCAAACAAGCAAAGGAATAAATACATCATGATTAATTTCCCCTCTGTATCCTGACTTCTCTTACATTGATCCAGTAAGGGAGGCTACCTGTTCTGTGACTTTCATCAAAAATCATCTTCAGGCTGGAGCTGTGGTTTGATGGGAGAACGCTTGTCTCTCATGAGGCCTGGTTTTAATTCTCAGCACCACATATAAATAAAGGAATAAAATAAAGGTCCAACAACAACTATATATATAGTTGTGTGACTTTAAATATATATATATATATATTTTTTTTTTTAAATCATTGTCTTGTTCTCTGCACTCAGGTCAACAGAAGAGGTGAATCCATTTACCTTCATAATCGAGCCAACTGGGTGACTGTAGGCATCTGTTCTTCCAGTTCCACCCAGAAGACTCCCAATGTGATGCTGCTGGCACATCTGACACCTGCTGCTAAAAAACGTTCAGAACCCCTGTTTGAAAGTCTCCTGACATCCCCTTCTACAGGGAAGCTGGTGCTTACAAGGTGAGTTACAAAGAGAAGAGGTTAAGAATCTCTTAGAAAATATGCATGAGCCCTGTGGAAATGGAACCGCTGATGACAATTGCTCCAAAGAAGCATCTCACTTGCATACCCTGATGCAAATGACCAAAAAGTGTTCTCAAAGTCAAGGAACATGGTTTATGACAAAGTCAAACAGGCAGTTAATTTAAAAATAAATAAACCTGGGGCTGAGGTTGTGGCTCAGCGGTAGAGCACTTGCCTTGCATGTGCAAGGCCCTGGGTTCAATCCTCAGCACCACATACAAATAAATAAAATAAGTGTATTGTATCCAACTACAACTAAAAATAAATATTTTTTAAAAATAAAATAAATAAATAAACCTAAGTAACAAAAACTGATGACTCATAATAAATAATCTCCCAAGAACACACCTCCTCTCCACGCAACGTCCTGGCTGCCATCAGAATTAGCTCTGGTCTTCTCTCGGTCAGTCATTTGCTCTACAATGTTGAGCAAATCACTTAATTTCTCTGAGAAACAGCCCTTTTAGTTAATTAAAATGAATATTTTCTCATGATAAATAGGTGGCATTCTGATTTTTAGTACATCAGAGGTCTAGACACATGATTAGATTGAGATGACTCTGAGGAGTCCTCCTTTAGAACTATCTGAGACAAAAGTCCTTTTCCTGAGTCTCACTCTTCAAGCTGATACAAAATATAAAAGGAAAGCCTGTTTTATAGGTCTCCAACCAGGTCTCCAGATAATGTTACATTTGCATTCATTTTCAGGTTTCTCCCTCTGCAGTTTGTTACTCTTTCTGTGCATGATGCTAAGAACTTGCGCCTCAAATTAAAGCTGGTGAGTGGCCGAGCCTACTACTTACAGCTCTGTGCTCCTCCATATAAACAGGAGGCCTTATTTTCTCAGTGGGTGGACCTCATCTCCCTCTTGAATCATGAGAAAATCAAAGTTCTCAAAGCATCAGAGGTCTCAAGCTTTTCAGAAATCACAAATAGCACAGATATCACAGCCTCCGTGGACATCATGGACATTACAGAGTTCTCAACTATACAGAACCCACATCCGTACACATGGACCAAAGGCATTCATGTCATGGACAGCCTAGATTTCTCGGAACTTGAAGATGTCACCGACGTCACAGATGTGACAGATGTTCCAGAAAATGAGGTCCCAGAGGTTCCAGATGTAAATATCGTCACAGAAATCACAGAAGTCGTAGAGGCCACAGAAGACACACATAGCTCTGATGCCTCAAACTTCTCAGGAGTCACTGTGGTGTTTGAAAATGATGACATAATAAGAGCCAAACAAGAGGAAAAGGTATGTGACATGGAAGACTTTGATTCTTTAATTATCAAGCACTAGAGCAATAAACAAGGTCACAGTTCTCAGTCAGGTGACATTAGTTATCACCTGTGGAACTGTCTGTGAGTGACCTAAGTTTAAAAATGAGATCTGATCCCTGAGACCTGGTGTAAAGGGGTTGTATGATATCTTTTGAAATAGGCAGCAACCATCCTTACTGTCAAACTTAACCTAGTGCCTGAAAGCTATGGTGTAATGAAAAGAAATGAGGATGTAGTCAGAAAACCTGGGTTAGATTCTTAACCTGCTGCATGTTAGTTGTGTGACTTTGAATAGCTCACTGAACCTACGTGATCCTCTGTTTCTTCACCTCCAAAATGAGGACATTAATAAAAGTAAGACTGTTTTAAATTTTAAATATATAGAAAAGTGCCCAGTAACTTGAAGAAAGGGATGAAACTTCACTAGGCAAAGTCCAGGAAGTAGAAAAACAAAGCCATGTTCGGATTAATTCAAGTAGGATGGAGCATAATATATGTGGAGAATATTAGCATATAGGATTGGAAAGTTGCTTGTAAACCTTGAATGCCAAATCAAGAAGTGGAGACTTCACTCTGAGAAAACCTTAGCAACTAAGGGCTGTGTAAGGAAATGAAGGAGTTGTTTTGTTTTTTGTTTGTTTTAAAGATTAATCTTATGGCAGGATGCATAATAGGTAAAGAGATCAGTCTGAAGAAAACTGCTAAAATTTCTCCACTAGGTTCACAACAGAAATAGATCAAAGGGTGAGGACAGAAGTTTCACAGAAGAAGTTGAGCATAAATAATACTAGAAAAAAATTAAATTTCTCTTTTTTGGTATTTTACAATCTATAGCTGTTATGCTGTGCAATAGAATATCAGAACTTGTTCTTCCTGTTGACCAGCGACTCCTATTTTTCCATGCATGGAGCTCCTACAAAAAATATTTAACCCATGTAATTGTTAATTAAAAGAACAGACACAGGGGCTGAGACCTGTGGCTCAGTGGTAGCACACTTGCCTGGCATGTGTGAGGCACTGGGTTAGATTCTCAGCACCACATATAAATAAATAAAGGTCTATCAACAACTAAAAAAAAAAAAAATAAAAAAAAAGAACAGACACAGAACTGGACTCAGGGACACATGCTTGTAATTCCAGCTGTTTTGGAGGCTGAGGCAGACAGAGGATCTCAAGTTTGAGACCAGTCTGGGCAACTTAGTGAGATCCCATCTCAAAAAAAAAGCTGTAAGTGTACTTAAGGTAGAGTGTTTGCCTGACATGTTCAAGGCCCTGGGTTGAATCTGCACTGCAAAAAAGTTAAAAATTAAAAGAATAAACACTATCAATATTAGCAGAAGTGTAGTCAACTGGGAATTTGTAGAGATTTATAGTATAAATGAGAATTGGGTCAGTTTTCTTGAAATAATTCTGAGTCAAGAACCTTAAAAATATTTGTACCCTTTGACAGAAATGAAGATTTAATTACAAAGATGTTAGTTATAGGCTGTGAGTGCATCTCAGTGGTAGAACATACTTAGCACACATTAATCATATCTTATGCTTCCCATGCTTATAATAATGAAAGCACGGAAGCAACCTAAATATCTACTAGGAATAGCTAAACAAATTTGAGCTTATGAAGGGCAGATATCATATTTATCTTGTTCAGGAGCTACCATAGTGCCTGATAATATCATAGGCACTGAGTAAAACTTTGTTAAATGAATTACTATTTTGTAGTTATTAAAATTATTTAAGAATGTTTCTTAACCTGGAAAAGTGTATATGATATAAATTTGAGTGAAAAATGAATAATATGTTCTCTGGGATGTAAAAATACATTTACACACACATACAAATAAATATATATATATATATATATATATATATATTGTGAATAGCAGTTAATCTTTAGATTGTAAGACTATGGGCCACTTATGTCTTGTTTATACTGTTTTGGATTCTCTGTTTCCTATAATAAAGATAAATTATTTTTAATTATGAAAAAATCAAGTGTTTTTACACAATTATTAATGACAGGAGGAAAATGCTTATAGTAATGAAATGTTAGGTGAAAAAATGTAGGCAGCAACTTCAAAACAATGTCAAAGCAGATATAATAAAAAATAAATAAATGAACAAAGAGATGGGAATCAATTGTACCAGAGGAATGGCTTTTTTTGGACAGTGGCTTCATGCAAGGAATAATTTCTACCTTTCACTTTATTCCTTAGAGGATTTTCCAAATATTCTATAATATAAGTAGCTTTAATTTTCAGGGAAAAAAGGAAAGTGTTATCTTTTAAAATAAGATTATCACACTATTTTTAATACCTTTATTTTTATTTATTAATTTTTTTAGGTAGTGCTGAGCACTCTACCACTGAGCCACAACCCCAGATCCAGATTACTACATTATTTTTAAGGAAATATAATAGAGGTAATGGACCAGGTAGGGGCAATGGGAGAAAGAAGTACAGATGTGAGGAATGTTAACACAGCTTTGGGGTTCACCAGCTTGAATGAGAGACTCTGCTGTGATCAGTAAGTGACTAAGAAGTGGCACAGTAACAGATTCCAGGAGATAAGAAGAATGGGGAGAGATTTGAGGGTATTAGATTTTAGGTACAGGCTTTAAATCTTTTGAAAAACAAAGACTAGTATTATTATGAACTCCAAGCCTCTATCATATCTTTCTTGCTCGTAGACTAGGAGACTAACATTTTCAGAAAACATTCCTTGCCCCTACAATTCGCAGACAAGAAATGCTGTAATTATAAGTGCTACTTGTTTTATGTGAGGTGACATTGGTGCACATCACAAAATGAGCTTCTGAATGTGCTATCAGGCTGCAGTGGGGCAGGCCATGGTTCCCACACTGCCTGCCTCCAACACCTGTGCACACTCAGTAAATGTGAATGAAATGATTACTATACTAGATACTGCTCCATAAATAATCTATTTCTATATCACACTCTTCTATTACCTGACTTGCTATTGCTTTGTCATTTTCAAAGGAAATAGTGGAAAGCACTATGAAGCCTGGATGTCTACGAGATACAAGAAGTAAGAGTGAATTCAAAGAATCCTCAAAACATGTCACCATCTCAGACATAACACTTACTTTCCAAGGTGAAAGGTGTTTTCATACTACTTTGAGTGCAGCAAGAAGTGAGGCAAACATATCAAAAGAAATGAGTGACAAAACCTCTGAAGAAAAGACAACTGATTTAAAAAACACAGCTCTCAAGGCAGTAGACTCCAGGTATGTGGAAAGAAAATGTTGTGGGGGTTTCTAAGATGTAAAGCAATGTAAATAGGTGCGTGCTTTAAAGTCCTTATAATTGAGCCATTTGTCTCTGAAGATTCTCAGAGACAGATACAGTGTAATTGCCCAATGATATAGTCAACTCTTAACTACCCACAACCTTGATTCAACCTTGGATAATTTTTATTTTTAAACCAGCTTCTTACACCACTCAGTTAGTATTATGGCTATTGGCCTATTGTCCATTTTGTGTTTACAAAATATAAGAGAATCACAGTGTTCACATTTTGAAGCCAGGATGTTGAGTTCTGGAGGGCTTGTGTGGGTATGTTTTCTTTTATCTTTATACTTCTCTATATCTTCTTCTCTACATAGCCTCTATATATTTCTTATATTTATCTAATGAGTGACATTTGCACTAATGAAAATTCAAAAAACTATTTTCATAATTTCAATAGCAAACTTGAATGCAAAAAAAAAAACCAAACAAACAAAACAAAACTAGCCTGGGCCACAAAGCAAGACCCCTATTAGTAAGAATGAAATGAGGAATGTAAATATATATGTATATATACATATATAAACGGGAAAACAGAAAAAATTGACATTAAAAATTAATTAACTAGAAAATTTTAAAATAATTTGAAGTGCTAAAAAGATTGGTTGATTCTTCAAAAAGAGCAACAAAACAAAACTGGACAAAACTGGCAAACCATTGGGTTGGCTATTTTGTTTTTAAAGTAAAATTGAAAAATATAAAAGATGTTATATCAAGAAGAATGGTAAAACATTATTGAGAAAGGTCAAATACAGTTTTGTTTCAATAACTTGAAAATGCTAAATAAGATTAAAAATGTAAAAGAAAAAAAGCAAAATTAATGCAACCAGAAATTGAAAACTGAAGAAATAGAAAAAAATTATCATAAAGCTCTCATTTAAGTAAAAGACAGTTTTGACTTTTCCAGAACAGTTTTTTAGATACTCTAAGACTTGTCTCTATTTTATGTACTGTTTTGTTTTAATATAGAAATATACAAAAAATATTCTGTTTTGTTTTCACAATTTCATGAAGCAAATAATCTATTTGGATTATAAAGCCAGGCAAAGACAACACAAAAAAGAAAATTCTAGTTTAGTCTACAATAAATACTAAATTCTTAGAATCTCAACAGGCAAAACACAACAAGCTTATTGTAAAATTAAGGAAATTATTAATATTAATCATATAAATACAAAAGAATAGAAAAGTTATGATAATTTAAACACATGTAACAAATTTATATATATTTTGTTTATTTGTATTTTGCTGGATTAAAAACCAAACCTAGGGGCACTCTACCACTGAGCTACATCTCTAGTTCTTTTTGTTTTTTAAGGTCTCACTGAGTTGCCCAGGCTGATGTTGAATTTGCAATCCTCCTGCCTCCGCTTCCTGAGTAGTTGATAGTAGGGTGTACATCATTACACCTGCCTCTCAATTTTTTTTAAATTAATAAACATAAAGAATACTGAAAAAAGAATGCATTTTTTAATAGCAACAGCAACAAAAATCAAGTGTGGTAATAAGATAACTGATTTTAAAAACACAAAACTTACATGGTAGAAATAAAGTACAACTTGAAAAAAGAAAAGAGGCTTTCCTTATGGGTTCAGTAAGTTTAATAAAACAGCAAAGTTGAGAAGACATCCTCAACTGATTTATGTATTTAATATAAAACCAATGAACATCTCAATAGGATATTTCAAGGAAATTATAAAATTATTAAAAAACTGGGCATGGTGGTACTTGCCTGTAATCCTAGCAACTCAGGAGGCAAAGAGAGGAAGATCTCAAGTTCACGTCCAGACTCAGCCATTCAGTGAGACCTAGCAACTTAGTGAGACCTTGTCTCAAAAAAGAAAAAAAAAAAAGGCTAGGGATATAGCTCAGTGGTTAAGCACCCCTGGGATAAAACTCCAGTACCAAAACAAAATAATTAAAAATATATGGAAAAGATAGGGGTATGAGTCTCAAAGAAACAGTTGGGATGGAAAGTGTCTTCAGGAGCCAAGTACAGTGGCACATACCTGTACGCTCAGTGACTCAGGAGCATCTCAAATTCAAAGCCAGCCTCAGCAATTTAGCCTGGACCTAAGCAACTTAGGAAGACAAGTTTACTCAAAATAAAAAGTAAAAAGGGCTGGGGTTGTGACTCAGTGGTAAAAGCCCTTCTGAGTTAAATCCCCAGAATCAAAAACTAAAAAGAAAAGAAAATGTCTTCAGGGCACTGGGTCCCATAACATCTTAAGGCATGTCATAATTAAGACTATCAGAATTCTAAGACAGGGGTCAGAGGTGCAGCTCAGTGGATAGAGCACATGGTTAGCATGCTCAAACCTCTGGGTTCAATCCCCGGCACCCTATTAAAAATAATTACCAGTACAAAGTTTAGAATATAGAAATAAAGATACAAAAATAGATTTGAATCGATGAGATCAGACAATATACAAAAAGAAAAAAATGCAATATTATCATTGCCTTTATTACAGAGGAAAGTTCATTTCTTGTCCACAGAAGCAATAAAAATAATTTTCAATGGCCAAGTTGGAGTCATTCCCTCAATAATATTTATTAAATTCCTCCTATGTGCTAGGCACTGGAGATAGACTATAAAAATAATCATGCCCCTGTCTCCTGAAATGTTTTATTCTAGTAGGGAGATCATAAACAAATAAGATATATATGCCAACTGGAATGCACTGTGATTAAAAACTTAGAAAAAAGAGTGATTTGAGCAGAGCAGAGGGATATTTTACACAGGTAGTCATGGGCATGCTCTCTGAGGAAGGGACTTTTGAGCAGAAAGCTGAGGAAATGGGAGCTCTGGGGGAATTGAGTTCCAAGCTGCATAACAAGTATAAGTATCAGCCAAATTAACAATTTTAAATAAATGTATAACAAGAGAATGGAAAAAGAATAGAGTATCTTTATACTTAAATGGCTGATAGGAATTTGTAAACTAACCAATTAACAAATGGTTTAAGAACAGGAATAGAAAATACACCAGGCTGGGTACAATGGCGCACACCTGTAATCCCAGCAACTCAGGAGACTGAGACAGGAGAATCTCCAGTTCAAAGCCAGCCTCAGCAAGCAAGGTGCTTAACAGCTCAGTGAGACCCTGTCTCTAAATAAAATACAAAACAGGGCAGGGGATGTGGCTTACTGGCCAAGAGTCCCTGATTCAATCCCTAGTACCAAAAAAAAAAAAAAAAAAAAAAAAAAAAGAGGGGCTGGGGTTGTGGCTTAGTAGTAAAGTGCTTGCCCGGCATGTGTGAGCACTGGGTTCGATCCTCAGCATCATATAAAAATAAATAAATAATGGTATGTGTCCATCTATAACCAAAAAAAAAAATTTTTTAAAGAAAGAAAGAAAATACCAGAAGACAAATACTTGAAGAGTCATCAACTTCATTAACAGTAAAGAAATACAAGTAAAGCAGTTACCAGTTGGCATTTTACTAGCTGTCCATAACATTTATGATGTCACCGTAAATAGTGGAGGGCTTTCTACAGAGTGACTTGGAAACTCAATGCTACAAATGGTTATACCCCTTGACTTACAGAAATACATGTTAAAGAAATAAGTCAAAGGAGAAAGTTAGTAACTTATCTGAACATAGTGGTTTTTTAAAAACTTTTTTTTAGTTGTAGATGGACACAATACCCTTATTTTATTTATTCATCTTTATGCAGTGCTAGGCAAGTGCTCTACCACTGAGCCACAACCCCAGTCCTGAACATAGTGTTTTATAGTTTAAGCCTGTACCTCATCCAAATGACCAATAGTGGAAGAATGGCTAACCAGGAAATAGTATGTTTATTTAGTGAAACAGCAGATTCTCATTAGGAAAAGCAATAGAATTTCAATGAAAAAGGGCTCCATAATTAATAGGACTTACAAGCTGGAAAAATAAAATTCCAAAAATGTATATACAATGATAGTTTATTTCTACTATGGGATGGGAAGAAACCACAGTTTGAGCATAGCTGATGATTGAAGGAATTGATATTTATTGTAGCTATTGATAGATGTTTCTATTAAAGTTTTATTATGTAATTGATTACATTTACAGTTTAAAAAGAAGGTTGATGCCTTAATTAGGAGAAATTTAACACAGCAACTAAAGGATGAGCTTTGCAGTTAGATCTCTATGTTCAAATCTTGACTCCTCTCTTACTAGCTCTGTGATCTTAGCAAGTTATTTAACTTCTTTAGGAATTAGATTTCTCATTTGTAAAATGGGAATGTCAACCATATAGAACTATTTTAGGAATTAAAACACATGTCGGGCTCATGGTAATTGCTTTAAATTTATATATATAAATTTATATATATTTGATTTAAATTTATATATATAAATTCTATATATATATATATATATAAGTTCTATATAGGTAAATTCTATATATATGTAAATTCTATATATATAAATTATATGTATATAAAAATTCTCTCTATATATAAATTCTCTCTATGTATATATAAATTCTATATATATGTATATGTATAAATTCTACATATGTATATATATAAATTCTATATGTGTGTGTATATATATAAATTCTATATATGTATATATAAATGTATATATATATTATATATACACATATGAATGTGTGTGTGTATATATATATATATATATATATATATATATAAAATATGGATAGAGGAAGGAGAGAGAGGAAGGGAAGAAGAAAGGAAAGAAGGTAGGTAGGTTAAGAAGGAAGGCAGTTTGGGGCTAGGGATGTGGCTCAAGCAGTAGCGTGCTCGCCTGGCATGCGTGTGGCCCGGGTTCAGTCCTCAGCACCACATACAAACAAAGATGTTGTGTCCGCCGAAAACTAAAAAAATAAATATTAAAAAAAATTCTCTCTCTCTCTCTCTTTAAAAAAAAAAAAGAAGGAAGGCAGGAGGGAAGGAAGGTTGGTTGGTTCAAATTCTAGATTAGACTTAGCAAAAAAATCTAATGTAGATTTGATTCACATTGAATAGAGTACAAAAAAATGGTTCTACATTATGCAGTACCTCTAAAATTTTCTATTATACTACCCAATAAACTGAACCTAGGGAAGAAATTGAAGGGCACAAAACTCGTTAAATATTTTTAATACAGCAAAAAAATTGAGGTGATAGGAGAATGTTAATTTAGTAAGTGAAAATGTTATTATTCTAATACATGATAAAGTCTACCAGAGGGCTAAATTTAAAAAGTAGATTTAAAATAAAAATTAGTTTAAACACAAACGAACAAAAATTATTATGGAGTAAAGTAACAGCAGACATGTGGTCAGTTAAAAATAACAAAAACAAAGCCAGGCACAGTGGCACACACCTATAAGCCCAACTACTCAAGAGGCTGAAGCAAGAAGATCACAAGTTCAAGGCCAGCCTTGGCAATTTAGCAAGACTCTGTCTCAAAATAAAAATAAAAATTTAGAGATGAGGTCAGTGGTAAAGCACCCCTTGTTTCAGTCCCTAGTACCACAGAAAATAAATAAAAATAAGTACATATCATGGGTTTGATACCAATAAACAACAGACCTGAACCAGGCAAGGTATCACAAGCCGTAATCCCAGCTACTAGTGAGACTAAGGTAGAAAGATTAAAAATTCCAGGCTACCTGCAATTTAGCAAGACTTTGTCTCAAGATTTAAATAAATAAATAAAAATTTAAAAGGACTGGGGATGTAGCTTAGTGGTAGAGTATTTGACTACCATGTGCAAAGCCCTAAATTAAATCCCTAGTACTAAAAAAACAAATAACAGGGCGGTCTCTATAGGTTATGGAATCTGTCCCTGGAAATATCTCAGAAATGAACATTAAGTCGTTTGTCCTGGATAGACTTTAGACATTCTCCTTTGAGGTATCTAGATCCTTTTGTGTTTCTAATTACTATATAATTTTAACACTGGGAATATCTACTGCTTAAACAAATGATAGAATGTAAGCTTAAAGTTAAATCTAAGTGTATTCTGGAGGATTCCTTAAAAAGGAGTGTGGTGGTATGGAAATAGTAGGCATATTGTAGGGTTATAAAAAGTAGAGTGACAGAAGTACATAAAGAAGTTGGGATATATTAGATGATCTCTATTGTAACTAGTAATTCATTTACATTCATGTAGATTAAAGAAAGTAGGCTATTCTGTCAAAAAATAGCTATCTTAAAATATCTTAATTGATTAAGGATTAATTACTCAAAACTGGTTTTCTTTTTAATCTTTCCTAGCAAAGTTGTAGGGGTCAAGGGAAGCAAAGGAACATGAGTGATCCTTAGGAGAGCCACAAACCTTGAAATCAGAGTAATGTTTACGTTGTATCCTTAACACATTTCCCCTAATTCTAGAGCCTCTAGGTCCAAGTGTCAAGACATCCAATGTGTTGGATCCTGATTATCTGCTCGGGTGAAACATCATTTAATATCTAGGGTTCTCATGCCAGTGTTCTCGAAGTGTGGCTGCTAGACCAGCAACAGCAATAACAGCAGTGTCTAGGAACTTGTTAAGAGATTTAAATTCTCAGGTCTATCTTATTGAATCATAAAATCTGAGGAAGGGACATAGCATTCTGTGTTTTAATTGATCTCCAAGTGATTCTAATGCATGCCCAAGTTTGGGAGAACATTCATTGCCTGATTGAGTACAATGTACAAAGTGGGGTTGAGCCAGGATACTCTCTCTCCTATAGGCTCAGAGTCAAAATAAGGATTTCCCTTTAAGGCCATAAAAAGAACCCTCAAACTCAAAGGAGTCTTTTTCAGGAATCTTTCCTATATGACCAGGAGCTAATATATAAGTATAGATAAAAATATAGATATATATATTAATAAACAACAGAACATGACTGTATATGTATGTGTCTCAAGTGAGAATTGCTGTTATCACCCACACTACGACCTATTGGAGGCACAGAGTAGCTAAAGTAGATACAAATTTCACCCAGAACACTGACCTATTATTTCTTGATGGTAACCACTGAATTATTTCACTGAAACTAAACAATGACCAGAAGGAGTATTGGAAAGTCTAATGTGTTACAGAGAAAGAAAGACCAAGATTAAAAAAAAAAAAAAAAAAAGGAAAGAAAGGAGAATAATAAAGGGAGAGAGAGAGAGAAGCTGTCAGAAATAGAGAGGGGAGACAGAATTGTTAGATGCAGAGGGACATAAAAAGGTGCCACTCAGTGGGGAATATTCCTTTCACTACTGTGAAGAAATACAGGTTTAATAGAAAAGCCTATGATTTATTTTAAAAAGGGGGGATAGGAGCAAGATAAAATCAATTCATCCAACTTAGCAATTTCCCCTAAATAATTATTGATCAAGTCAAATCATTCTGATGTCCTCCTGTTTTATTTTGTTTTCATATCTTAAATACAGTGTCCCCAGCTATTGTCTAATACTTAAGAAACACACCATGGGGGGCTGGGGATGTGGCTCAAGCAGTAGCGCACTCGCCTGGCATGCGTGCGGCCAGGTTCGATCCTCAGCACCACATACCAACAAAGATGTTGTGTCTGTCGAAAAACTAAAAAATAAATATTAAAATTCTCTCTCTCTCTCTCTCTCTCTTTAAAAAAAGAAAAAAGAAACACACCATGAATCAAAATATTATAACATTATAAGCTTCCTCTTTGCCCTTTTGCACATATCGAATTCCTTAAAACCGTTAGATTAATATTTGATGCCTTTTAAAAAACATTTAAGGAATTGACAAACTTTACTTTTTATTACAGTTTTAGATTTACAGACTAATTGGGCAGATGGGAGATAGAGTTCCATCTCACTGCCACCTCCTCTCCTCACCCCCACAGTTTCTCCTATATATCTTATATATGATATACTGATATGTTATTATTAACTATATTCCATAGTTTACACTAAGGTTCATGCTTTGTATTGTACAGTTCAGTGAATTTTGACAAATGTATAATAGGTAACCAGTATTATATCTTTGCAGAGAATAGTTTATTTCTCTAAAAAGCCCTCCTCATCATTAAGCTAACTTTTAACTGCTCTTTAAAATATTTAAAATTACGAAGATAACACATTTTTAGGATAAAAAATGTTCTGCAGGTGCTAAGTTTTTAGTTTCATGTTATGCTCACTATTAGAAATGATAAAATGAACCCCTATACAAATGAAAAAATTATAGAAGTTTAAAGATATAAAGGATCTTGGGCTAGGGGCATAGCTCAGTGGTAGAGCGCTTGCCTAGCTAGTGTGAAGCACAGGGTTCAATTCTCAGCATCACATATACATAAATAAATAAAGATCCATTAACAACCAAAAGAATATTTTTAAAAAGATATAAAGGAACTTACTATTTAACCAATCTTAAATTCTTCAAGGCTTCATCCCTGGGCTTCCTGTGCCATTAATCTACTGACTTCACTGGGGAGAAATAAACAGATGAAGAAAAACAAAATAAAACAAATTTTCATTCTAAGTAACCCTGTTAAGTTCAATGTAATCAATCATGAATTCTTTTTTATTGCCTATTTGTATTAGGAACATAATGACTAGCTGGAGTCTAATTTAAGAATGTTAATTATGAATGAAAGCTAAAAAAGATGGAGACTTAAACTTTTCATTACTGTCAGTTCAGGTCTTTTAGAAATGAAGTATTTACTCTATGAAGAATATATATTCCTTCTTATGCCTTGACAATAGTGCTACCATGACTGTTAATAATAGAATAATAGCAGGCTTTATTTTAACTTGCACCTATTTATTAAAGATATACTTAATTTATATCTTCAGTCTCTTAAAAACTTTTATTATCAGTCTCATTCAAATCAACAGGTCAATTTTGGTACAGGCCATATGAATTCTTATTTACTAACTCTTCAGAAAATTACTACTTTATTTTTTCCACATTTTTTATTGGCACATTAAAGTTGTACAGATTGATGGGACTTGTTACATATTCATGCACGCACACAATATAACGATATAATTTGGCCAAAACCACTCCCCAACACTTCTTCCCTCCCTCCCTTCCTCCCAGCCCTGATCCCTTTCCTCTACTGATCTCCTGTTTTTAACTTTTTAGTACAAAGTTGGAGTTCTTTATTCATATAGAGTAAGGCACAAGCCTTTTGAACTTTTTTTTTATTTTTTGAACTTTTTTTTTATATTTTAGTACAAAGTTGGGGTTCTTTATTCTCATAGAGTAAGGCACAGGCCAGGTGGGAGAGCTGTGCAGTCTCAGTGCCAATAAGTTTCAAATGTAAAGTCCTTCAGCTTCTGAAAGAAGCTCTTCCCATCTCAGGAAAAACACGTTTTGTTGAGAATAAAAATCAGGCAACCTGGCCACAGCAAAGATGTGCGGTCACCAGTCAGTCCTGAAAATGCTTAGTGAGAGTGGCCAGCAACTCCTGCTTCTTCAGCCCCCCCCTTCAGCCTGTACACCTATAGGCCTCTTTCTTCATGGGCACAGTGAGTTCGACAGCATGACCTTGACAACGTGGGCCTTCAGTTCCTCTTCATATACCTCTACTTTGAGCCTTTTGCTTCCAGAACCTCCATCATCTTGGTTTCACTTACTAACTTTGCCCTCGGGATTGTAATTTGGTGGGGTAGACAAGTTCCTTTAAACTCATCTACCAGAGAGCCCCGTCTTTTATTCATTGTTTCAACCTTGGGCAATGTCAGATCTATTGCTTGTTTAGGCTCCATCAAATCCAAAGCTAAGGCCTCCAGATTTCTAAAGTGGTACTGCAGCACTGGATTCTCAAAGCTGTGACTTCTGTATTTGAAGCACAGCTTCTTAACAATGGCTTTCATCTTGGCTGTCTGTTCAGGGTTGGCCATGACTTTTTTAGTAAGAGGCAGTTTCCATTTATCCCATCATAGGGGTAGGAAGCTTGGAGGGGTCACCGGAATTTTCTGGTTATCCAGCTCTTCTTCCTATGGCACCAAAGCCACAAATAAGGGAGGATGTTCTCCTGGAATGAGTATCTGCATACTGCTTTGACTGCCTTCTCCAGACACTTGGTGAGCAGAGCACTAAACAGGGTTGAGCTCCCGTTTACCAGGGTCTCCTCAGGGTAAAGGAACAGGGAAGGTCTCAGGTTAATGGTGCTTCTTCAGCATGAGCAAGGGCTTGAAGTCAAGGAAAATGAAACCTGGTTCACCAAACTGCTTCAACTCCTCCATTTCCTCTTTCTCTAGTATAATCTGAAAACTCCCATAGATCTGAAGTATCTGTATTTACATCAAATGTCGAGTCTTAGTTTTTCCTGGTTCATTTGTTTCCCTGGAGGTTATTGGAAAAGGCTTGCTAGCCTTCTGGACCAAGTTATAAACGCCTACAGAGAGCGCAATACCATTGTTGAACTTAAACTTGAATCTGGACACTACTCGCTTCCTGGGCTCCTTGAGGCAAACCTTCCTCAACAGGTGTTCCAGCTTGCTTGATTCCTCAAAGTGAACTCCAAGATTCTCATCCTCTGCTCTGCTGATGATATCTTTGCTGTTTTCTCTAGTTCTGTGAAGAATGCCATTGATATTTTGATAGGGATTGCATTGAATCTATATATTGTGTTTGATAGTATGGCCAGTTTAATAATATTAATTCTTCCTATTCATGAACATGAGAGGTCTTTCCATCCTCTGATGTCTTCTCCAATTTCTTTCTTCAGTGCTCTATAGTTTTCATCATAGAATTTCTTTTTTGTTTATTTTGTTTTCTCACCTTTTCACCTCGATGGTTAGAATTATTCCTAGGTTTTGCTTTTGCTTTTTGAGGTTATTGTGAATGGAATTGTTTTCCTGATTTCTTTCTCAGCAGATTTGTTGTGGTTAAATAAGAAAGCTATTGATTTTTGTACGTTGATTTTGTAATGTGCTTCTTTGCCAAATTTATTAGCTCTGGCAAATTTATTAATTCTTTTGGTGGAGTTTTTTTTTAATCTTCTATGTATAGGATCATGTCATTTGCAAACAGTGATAATTTTACTTCTTCCTTTCCTATATTTCATCCATTTTATTTCTTTCTATTGCCTAATTGCTCTGGCTAGAATTTCTAACACTATATTAAATAGGAGTGGTAAAAGTAGACATCCTTGTCTTGTTCCAGATTTCAAAGGTAATTCTTTCAGTTTTATCCATTGCTATGAGACTTGCTTTGAGTTTTTCAATGTAGGTTCCTTTTAATCTCTAGTTTTTTCAATATTTTTATCATGAATGGGTGCTAAATTTTATTGAAGGCATTCTCTGCATCTATTGAGATTACTAAGTGATTTTTGTCCTTAATTCTGTTAATGTGATGAATTTATATTTATTAATTTGCATATATTAAACCATCCTTGCATATCTGGAATAAAACCAACTTGGTCATAGAATACAATCTTCTTAATATGTTATTGAACATAATTTGCTAATATCTTATTAAATATTTTTGCATCTAAGTTAAGCAGGGATATTGGTCTGTGGTTTTCTTTCCTTGAGGTATCCTTCTCTGGTTTGGGGTATAAGCATGATATTGGCTTCGTAGAATGAATTTGGAAATGTTCCATCCCTTTCTGTTTCATGGAATAGTTTAACGAGTGTGATATTAATTAGTTCATCTTTGAAAGTCAGGTAGAATTCAACTGGTCCTAGGCTTGTTTTTTTTTTTTTTTGTCAGAAGACTTTTTATTACTGCTTCTATCTCATTACATGTCATTGATCTTTGTTTTCTGTGTCTTCTTGACTCAATTTTGGCACATTGTATGTGTCAAAAACGTCTTCATTTCTTTTACATTTTCCAATTTATTGGAATATACGTTTTCAAAATAGTTCCTAATGTGATCTCCTGGGTTTCTGAGATGCCTATGGTGATTTCTTCTTTTACATCTCTAATTTTATTAATTTGGTTTTACCTCCTTTTTTCCTTTGGTTAGTTTTTCTAAGGGATTATCAATCTTATTTACCTTTTCAAACAATGAACTCTTTATTTCATCAATCCTTTGTATTGTTTTTATTCTCAAGTACATTGATTTGGGGACTGATCTTAACTATTTCCTCCCTTCTACTGGTTTTAGAATTAATTTGTTCTTTTTCAAGGGCCTTGAGGTTGTTTATTGGGGATCTTTCTGATTTTCTTATGTAGGCACTCATAGCTATATACTTTCCTTCTTAGAACTACCTTTACAGTGTCCCAGAGGTTCTGGTATGTTATACCACCATTCTCATTTGAGTCTTAAGAATTTTTTAATTTGTCCATCGATTTCTTCTCTATCATACATTAAATTATTCAAAAGAGTATTGTTCAATCTTCATGCGTTTTTATAGTTTCTGCAGGGTTTGGATATATTGATTTCTAATTTCATTCCATTATGATCTAATAATAGAGAAGAAGCTTGGGAGGCTGAAACAGGAGAATCTTGAGTTCAGAGCCATCCTCAGCAACGGCGAGGTGCTAAGCAACTCAGTGAGACCCTGTCTCTAAATAAAATACAAAATAGGGCTAGGGATATGACTCAGTGGTTGAGTACACCTGATTCACTCACTAGTATGAGAGAGAGAGAGAGAGAGAGAAAGAGAGAGAGAGAGAGAGAGGAGGAATTATGTCAATATTTTGTATTTGCTAAGAGTTGTTTGGTGGCAACTCTTAAGGTCTATTTTGGAGAAGTTTCCTTGAGCCTCTGAGAAGAAAGTGTATTCAGCTGTTGTTGGATGAAATATTCTATCAATGTCTGTTAGGTTTATTTGATTTATAATATTTTTCAGGTCCAATGAGTCTTTACTAAGTTTATGTCTGTATGACCTACCTAATGGTGAGAGAAGTGTGTTGAAATCGCAAAGTATTATGTGCTGGGGTCTATCCAAGACTTCAATTTGGGAAGTATATCTTATGTAATAAGTTATACACACATTTTGGGCAAAAAAATTCATTATTGTTATTTCTTCTTCTCCTCCTCCTCCTCCTCCTCCTCCTCCTCCTCCTCCTTCTCCTCGTTCTTCTTCTTCTTCTTCTTCTTCTTCTTCTTCTTCTTCTTCTTCTTCTTCTTCTTCTTCTTCTTCTTCTGATTGAACCCTGAGCCTAAGCATGCAAGTCAAGCACTCTACCAACTGAGCTATATTCTCAGCCCTGTTATATCTCCTTGATTGTTCCCTTTACCAATATGAAGTGACCCTCTCTGTCTCTTCTGATTAATTTGGTATAAAATCTTTGTCAGATATGAGAGTAGCTAATCCTGCTTGTTTGGAGGCTCCTTTTGCATTATATACCAATTTTCATTCTTTCACTTTCAGCCTGTAGCTGTCTTTGCCTTCAAGGTGCATCTCTTGCAAACAGCATATAGTTGGATCTTGTTTTATTAATTCATTCTGTCAGCCTACGTCTTTTTATTGGAGAGATGAGGCCACTTATATCCAATGTTATTATAGAGAAATATTTATTAATTACTGCCATTTGATTTATTTATCGTATTGCATCAGTATTATGTTTAATTTGGTCCTGTTTATTTTAGATTAGTTATCTTCAAATTAGATTTGTTCTTTTGTGAGCTCTGAGGTTTGTTTTTTATTTCTTCTATGTGTGGTATTTAAGTAAGTTCTGTAGTGCTAGTTTAGTAGTCATGAATTCTTTTAGTTTTGACTTATCATGGAAAGTTTTTATTTCAATTGAAATATTGAAGAATTTTGAATGACACCTTTGGTGGATATAGCATTCTTGGTGTTGAGGGTTATTTTCTTTCAGGACTTGGAATATATTGTTCCAAGCGCTCCTAGCTTGTACAATGTGTGCAAAGAAATCAGAAGTGATTCTTATTGGCTTGCCTCTAAATGTGATTTGATGTTTTTCTCTTGAGGTTTTTAAAATTCTATCCTTCTTTGTATGTTAGGCATTTTAATTATAATGTGTCATGGAGAGGTTCTTTTTTGGTCTTGTCTACTTGGGGTTCTGAATGCCTCCTGTATCTGGATGTCTATCTTATTCTCAAAGTTTGGAAATTTTTCTGTTATTATTTCCCTGGAGAGTTTACTCATTCCATTAGCCTGTATCTCACGGCCCTCCTTAATTCCAGTAATTCTTAAATTTGTCTCTTCATGTTGTCCCAGATTTCTTTTATATTCTGATCCTGATTACTTTTTTCCCTTTAGTACTACCTGAATATACAAGGATAACCACTTTGTCTTACAGCTCTGAGATTCTGTCTTCAGCATGGTCTACTCTATCAGAGACTTT